GTCATGACCGTCGTCGTACGGAGAAATACAATTGGGCGAACTTCACTGATTGTTGTCAAGGCAGTACGCACGTTCCCTTTTTCGATGGCTCGGAAGCAAAGCCGCTGTGCGTTAGTGTTAACTTGATATCTTGGATCGTTGGTGACCACGATCTGATATCAAAGCCCGTTAGCATAAAATTTCTCATGAAGTGCGACGTCGGTACCACATTCAAGACATCAAAGTAATCATTCAACAGCACCACCTTCGATGGGTTGGCTATTCACTGCACCGAACAAAGAATAATATGGTCAAACTGGGGTCCTTCTCAGCAATACTGCAGAGGCAGGCAGTAAAAACCTTGTTAAGAACCATCAGGTTTAAGGTGGAGAACCTAGAACACTAAAATGTATACAGAATCCACCATCAGTAAACGCCGTCTCATATCCAAGTTTCGGACTGCAGCAACTGAGCAGCTACAGTCCGAGATACTCACGGAGCCGGTTTGTCCTCTTGTGAGAGATAACTTACACACTTCGTTTTACGGCGGATGAATCCTGAGGAGAAAAGCCAGCTTCATAGATATCCAATGTAGTAGCTGCGCATGCTCGGTGGAAAGATCTGCGCAGATTGTGATCCAGTCTAACGATTGCCATATACCGGGTGGAGACTAAGGTATTCCGCATCCCTGGGTACGGTATCTATTCGGATTTACAACTATCTACCGCGCCGACAGAGCCAGTATGGGCAGAGATGGTGCCGAGACACCTTCAGTCAGCTCATAGTCAGATTTGCATAGTGCGTCCAAATCATTGCAGTGGTCGTTGAATAGGCGTGCGTAGCTGCGTGGGATTAAAACACCCATTTCTGTTGGTTCTCCAATCTGACTCCTAAAAGGATTCCTATGCACCAGTGATCGAAGAATTCTAATCGTTGACAGTCCTCGACTCTAAGTGACCAGTTTTGCAGCCGTACAGCAAGACAGGACGGACTGCTACGGCGAAAACTTATTTCTGTTCTTAGGCTGATTTCATTTCTACGCCATAAGGAGTTCCTCGGCTGTAGAACGTATTTCTGGCGGAATCAACGCGCAGTGGTAACCCATCTTTAACCTAGCCGTTGGGCAATTTGGTTGAGCCTAGGCAGTTAAACCTTTCTAAGGATTTGATCGATTTGCCGTTTAAGAATCTGCAGGATGAAGTGCGAGTCACAAATACTCCGGTTTTGGATGTGCTCACCTCTAGGCCGATCTCAGAGAAATGTCGACTGATGCGTTAACCATTCCGATGAGACCGGATATGTTCTCAAAAAAGACGACAATGCGAGACAACCCATTAGGGTTATTGATTTTTCCCTTGTTACTCGACTGCGAGAAAGTCAATAGTTTATCTGAGGCGGGTAGATGGTATACATATAGCACTGTGATCATTTCATTTCCAGTTTTTATAACCATTAACCATGCACTTTCGTGCGTCGATTTTGGTTGCTGTCTCAAGACTGCTCATTCGGATAGTTTGCAAAATTGTGACCCGCATTCTCAATGGCCCATTTTTACAAATCCCGAAATGTCAAGTAGTTTTCGAGCAAATCTGGGTGTTACCACACGTTATTTTTTACGACATCATTGTGTGATCAGCAGTAGGCGGGGCGGAACCCATAGTCACGAAGACCTACTGCTCAGTGATGATAACCGGTAACGATCACAATGAGACTGCACCTTAATGTGGTGTGATGGCTTGCGTGCTTCCATGACCCTACGTGCTCCACAGGATGGCTTCTCACAGCCGTAGATCCAATCCTGCCTGATAGGTCAACGGGTAGAGACCAGACGAAGCTCAGTCTCACAAAGCCAGCTGTTTGGGCACCCACTGGTTTCCTTCGTCTATCCACACCCGCCCCTGGTGAGGCAACTCCAGTAAATAAACACGGTGAGGGGCAGTTTACCGATCGAAAACCCGCCGCTAGATGGATGTAGGAGTGGGGTACCTGGGGCTTCCTCTCGACGGTAGGAGAAGTCTTGGCACTTCAGTGGACAGCTACCACCCGCCCAAGCTGGGCAGCCCCCAGCCAATAAGGTGCTGTCTCGTCCACGTTCCGCCTGTCTCATTGGGTGCATGAGGCTAAGGGCCGATCCAGAAAAGCGGACCGATAATCAACGCACCAGCGAACAACACAATTAATTAAAAGCAAAAGGCCTTGCGTGGCAGATCTCTAGAAGCTCCCACATGAGTGCTTCGTTCACGTTCCCGCGTTGGATTTACGCCCCACTGCCTTGCGGGTCCGACTTTTCAGTCGAAGGCTCCGGTTAGGGTTCACAAAGAAAAACCCTTCGTCGGTGTGGGTTACCGCGAAGTATGTCGTGCCCTAAAGTCTTAGGCACCCATTTGGAAAACCATCTTTCCCATCTGTCCAGTTCTTCTTCTCAATCCCGAATAATCCCAGATGCCACCTGTTTGTGCCACACATCAAATGTCACTTAGGCCAGATAATCAGAAGTCATAGGATTTTTAAAGCCAAGCGTTCTATGTCCCCACGCTTTATCAGATTGGCCAAAAAACTGCCCTGGCTAGAACCCTCGAAACTTTCAATGTAGATGTATGTTGTGTCTCCGATACACGCATACAAGACCCTACTTTATTGATTTCCCTGCGTTCTCCTAACCCAGCCTCGACCTCATGCTTCACTCTCCATGTTTCAGGCGATTCGGTATCCGAAGCTCGCGGTGTTGCTGGTGTAGGGATTGCGCTAAGTGCCAAGGCTGAGTGCTCGTTTCTTGACTGGATTCCAGTCAGTGGCCGATTGTGCGCTGTACGTCTCAACGGTTCAGTTCAAGTCAACAGGTGCAGAATGAAGCGTCGATGCTTATTCGTCGTATCGGCGTATGCACCGACCGATTGCAGTATACCGGAAATCAAGGATAAATTATACAAGGATCTCTCCCAACTTCCTTAAAATGCTCGATAAACGGACGTCATAGTAGTCGCCGGGGACTTCAATACTCAAGTGGGAACCCTGGACGAATCAGAAAGGCTTCTTGGCGGACGACATGCAATCCCAGCCAACCGGACGGACAACGGAGATCGCCTACCTCAACTCTG